AATCTTTTGCCAAATACAAGTTATGCTGAATGAAGCTACATATTTCAAAAAACCTGTTTCCAAATCCCAAGTTAGGCTGCAAAAGAAAATTAATTTAAATATCTTCATCATCACTGCTGCCTCACTCCCTGAGGAGAAGCTGCCACATTCCAGTGCAGCTGGAATTCAAGTGGCGGTCCCAATGGAGGGGTTATTGCAGGTCACAACACAGAGTCACAGGAAAAACAAAGAAAAACCCATGAATCCTCCTGGGCTCAACTTTCTTTTTACCCTGCTATTGGTGATGTTTTAGCAAATGACCTTGTCACTATATTTTATATAATATCTCTGTTATTGTCCACCTCTCACAGTACCATATTTTTCCAAATAATTTTTTTCCAACAGTTTTTCTTAAAACTGAGAATACAAAAAGAAAGGAGGGCTTGAATTGATATTCACCTGTAACATCAAGCAAGAAATAAAATATTCCCAAACAACCTGTTGTTTAATATAATGCAGCAGAAACCAAGCACAGATAAATCTTAGGTCACTAATTTTTTATAGTCTCTGAGCTTTGGATACTGATGCAACACACCTCCGGAATAGCAAGCAAGCCATGCCTGCTAGGTCCCTGAGGCTTGGAGTGACTGCAACTGGTGCAGGGTGCTCAGCACTTCCCACGACTAAAAGTTAAGTTACAGACCCCTGTTGGAATATACATTTCAAGTAAATATCCATCCAAACTTAGCTGCTTATCCCTGAAATGCCAGATGCAAATAAAAAAATACATGGCTTCAGGAATGTTGAAAATCTTTGTTAGCAACATCAACCCTGCCTTAAGGGTGCTAGCAAAATCTTTGTTATAGCAGCAAGAGATTCAAGATAAGAAAATAAAACAGGAAAATTAGGAATTTTTCTTAATGTTCTCTAGATATTATACATACAATCTTTAAACATAATTTAGATTTCTTCAAAAACTTTCAAGTACTTGAAAGTGTTTTTAAGAACGTCTCTATAAAACACAAGTTTCATGTGAAAATAACTGGACTGTGAAAAGATTAGAGCTTGCAGACAGTTCTGAATGAATATCATACAAGCACAGAAAATACTCTTAAAAACACTTGTCAGTATTGCTTTAGTTATATTTATGCTAAAAAAAATTATGACACAGGCTTAATATTTTTACAGTAAGAAATAAATGTAGGTGGGATTTGAAAAGTTCCATTAAATGTGCTTACAGCAATCCTATGCAGAACATCCACTATGCAAAGGTTTGTAATTGCTGTTGGAGAACGAGTAAAAATATCAGAAAGTAAAAAAAAGAAATAGCAACTGCTTGTTGCAAATATCATGTTCCATTCAGATTTTTAACTGAAAGAAAGTTGATTAAATTCTGATCTCTGTTATATCCACACAATTACAATTTCCCCAAAAGTGTGCATCCAATCCTACTGGCAACTCTGTAAATTAGATTAAAATCTGGATTAATATGTGCATTAAACATTCATATTAGATCAAGTAAACCCTATGCAATAAAAGCCCATGTATAATTAATATTCTATCCCTACATCCTTTCTTGGTGAATGTTAAATGACTATAGGTATAGGATCTGAGAAATATTTTGTCCTTTTAGGTCAAGAAGTCACAAGAGAGCTTGTCAATGGGATAAATCTGTTGAGTCTTCTTTGCTAGAGTATCTCTCCCCGCTCAAAAAACTTTTAAAAATGAACCATGTTTTTTTAATAATGTTTTCTTATTCTGACATTGCTGCACATGAAATAGGAAACTGACCATCAGCTGAATAAATAAGCCAAAAATCAGGAAAAAAATATTAGATAAAGACTAGGCAATCAAAAACCTGTAATGAATTGTTACTATTCTCTCAAACCCAAACCAGCTGCATTACCCTTCCCCCATCACTACAAGGTTTTACAGCTCAGTAGCTGCTAGGGCCTGCAGCTGAATGCCTCCACTTTTACTCCCTCTTCTGAACGCCTCCACTTTTACTCCCTCCAAGCCTTCACCAGGGACTGCCGTCCTTCTTCATTTAATAGCATTTCTTAACTCGAAGATATGAGTATTTGCTGTGTGGTTACCGTTTTCCCAGACAAGAATCAGGCAGACCTGAGCAGACTAGTGCTGATGCTCTGATCCAGCAGAGCACTTGTGCAATTCCAGCCTTCAGGCAAACCAGGGGTCAAGCCAACAGACAGCCCCGGGGCAAAAATCTGAGTAATGGGATGCTTCACTGAGTCAGGACTCTGAGTCAGACAGGCTGCAAGCTCCAGCAAACTGCAGTGAGATAACAGAAGACACGATTTAGCTAACTATATGAAAAAGCTAGACTCTGTGCGTGTCTGTGAAGTAAAATGAAATTATTATATATTTTCACACCCTCTCTAATAAAGTGCTATCAGTAAATACTAAACTTTTCAAGTTTGGTTGGTTTTTTGATTTTGTTTTTTTGGTTTTTTTTTACAAACAAAACATACATGTCTTATCTGACACACAGCTACACAATATCTGTGTACATTTCTTTATTAGACAGAACGCTCCCAGGAAACTTAATGAAATGCAAGAGTTTATTTTGAAACCAAAACACAACAATATATGACAATGACAACAATAATTATCTCTAAAGAAAAAAATCAACTCATGGAACATTTTCAATTATAATAATTTATTCCCATGAGGTCGCTTGATAGGATACTGGATCAGTGCAATATCACTGATAGAGGTTTAGCTACACTTTCAGAAAACAGTTGTGCAGAGAAGCGTATAGTCACTCTCCCCTCAATTTTCTATCTTCATATGATCTGAAAAAAAGAAAATAAAAAGGTGCTGAGCTGCTGTAAGCCCAACGTTATTTGCAAGAGCAAAATATAACAACGGTTCATTCTACTTAAAACATAATATAGCTCCTCAAAATGGAGCTGGAAATAATAATTTACTGGCTCATACAACTATGAGACGTAACAGCCTTTTCATATCTGCATGTGGGCAAGTCTGGATTCTGTTAACCTCAGTAAACATCATCTATGTTTACATACATATGAGCTGGGTATAGATTAGTGTTTCTTTCAAGAAACAGGCATTACTTATCTTTGAAGGCACACAAAAGTTTCCTCTACATGTATACATATATATGCATTATGGTAATAATTATGCTTTCCTGCAAATATATATAATTTAATGTATTACAGTAAATCTATATCACAGACTACAGTACCATAAGGAATGCAAAACTGAAATTGTGCTAAACCAGTTTCATACTATTTTATTTGCTTAGCCAGCACTACAAAGAATTTAAATTGTATGTAGAGTGGGCAAAAAAATCAAACTACTTGCAGAAGATTATGCATACATATTTAAATGTCCTTTAGAATTAAGACAATAACAAAATGCAACTATGCAAATATATCTTACAAATTAAAATGACACATGATATTTCTCATACCTTCATCTGCAGATATATTTGCCTTAAACTCAATTGCACTGGGATCTCTATTTCTCAATACAATTAGCACATTTAATCATGTCTGAACTAACAAGCAAATTATCTACAGAATACGTTAAGCAAGTTTACAAATTCAATAAATAACACACCCTTTGGCCTTTGTCCAGAACTAATTGCTTCAGACAGAACTGAGTCACCTTTGTAGGAAACAAGTTAATTAGCTTCTCAGTAAAAAATGGAAAAAATCAGGGACTGAAAATTCAGAATACTTCCCCTCTCAAAAAAAGAATTTGTATGCAAAAACATCACAAACCCAAGATTCTTACTAACCACACTGATTTGAGCTCTACAGGATTAAACATTACTCATCATCTGTTTCAGTCACTAGTGAAAACAGGCAATTGAAATATCCCATTACATTACTCTGAAACACAGATTTTGACTCAAAGATATTTAAATTATTATGTGATAAATGTTAACCCATTCACCTTGTAGACTTCTACAACAAGATGTCCCATATGGAAATCCACTTAATATTGAAAATCTCCTTCCTCTCTTGTGCAATAAAATGACCTCCCAGTGACTACATCTATAGTTACCTACTCACTTCACTACCCAGTGGGCACAGTGCACAGCGCTTTCCTCGATTTAACACATCCCCTCTTAAAACACACTCATAATGGGAGCTGGTAGCTGGGGCTGAGTCACACTTGTCTCTGACTATGCTACATGTCTTTGGACTAAAGGAGAATTTTAACTCAAGTGAAGGCAGCAAGTCACTGATTTTCCTCACTGTTGGTTGCCAAAGAAGCCTGGTGGTGCAGTATGGAATCATGCTGCTCCTGCATGAGATCAGGCTGCCCCTGGCAGAGCTGACCGTTGTGGTGCTCCCGATGAGCACCACTGCCACCCTGCTCTCCTCTGGGCAGAGCACTCTCTTCCCTCACTCTGCTCCTCTGATGCCTGCATCTACATGAAGAGCAAAGACAGCTTGTGAAGGTAGCTGATAAGTAACCTGCCAGGGAAAAAAAAAGTACCAAAACCACCCAACCTTTTCTACAGGTACTATTTCTATTTTCTTCATGTAGAAGCTAGCACTTTAATCTCCTAAGGGGAAAGTAGTGCAGGTAAGTATGGATATCAGCTTTGTCTGGCAGTGTAAAAACAGCCATACCAAGACTTCCTGAATTCTGAATTCAGGCAGAATCACTTTGAAATATATTAAAATTCCCATCATTGTAGAAAAAGTAAGTACAAACAATCAAAGAAAGTTGTCATCATAATTGTGAAATTATAATATAGCAGAGGGATATTAGAATGTTCTTCTTAATTACTGATGTATGTGAAAAAACCAGTTTCTCCAAATCCCAAACAGATTGCCAGTATAACAAAGACCAATCGACAAACATAGAAAAATGTATTGATTTCTAGTAAGATTAGATTCTAGCACTATAATCTCAAATTTCATACTATCAAAACTGTTATGAAAAAAATAAAAGGTTTAGCTGCCTAAAATCTTACTTATTTTAACAGCTGGCCTTCCAGGAAGAGAACTAATCTTAGGTTAAAAATCTAAATATAGATTTAGCTTACAATATCACTATGCAATTACATATAAGTAAAAAACATTAAAAAACCCAAGAGACATTTCCACAATTGTTTTATAATACCAGACAGAAAGAAAATTTTTTTTTTTGCTGGTTAAAGTCTATTCTTTCTTTTACCAAACTAAAAGTAACTGTTCAGTATTATTAATTTTGGTATCTTATGTGTGTAAATTTGAACTCCCTAAAAGCAGTTTATTATCTTTAATATAGCCAGTTCATGTTTGTTTCTATATGACCAAGTTTACCTTACGAAAAACTTTCATGAAACACTTGGATTTTCATGTGAATTTTTGTACCAGCTACTGAAAGAATATTTGCTCTCCACAGAACAGTGAACATGACTTTCTGCTACCAAAAAGGTAATCCATATGTGTTTTCAACACTGTTTTCCAGTTGACAGAATTAATCAACATCAGTGATATATTTCATAAAACTCCTATTCAATTATTTCAGGGTAAGAATTTTAATAAACATTCTGTTATTTTCTGTGTATTACTTTTGGCACAGTTTTATGTTTTCTAAAGAACATTCTTGTCCCACCGTAATAATCAGTGTGTATTGGTGCATACCTTTGGTGAGAACCTGCTTAGGTTTTTTCATTATAATCAAAAGCCTATTCTAAAGGGTTGTTAAGAGTCTCACCTCCTTTGGTTTGCAGTGGTATGCTGAGAATGTCAGCCTCTGTGGACGGCTCATTGTTCATGCTGATGCAATATAATGGTTCACCCAAGAAAGAAGGTTTCTTCAATCTTTTTGTGTTGAGTGCTCTTGACATAAAGTAACCTTCAGTAATACTCTTATCTTCCATCTTCTGTAAACCTTCTAGGTCATCAGGTTCCTCTGTTTGGGCCAGTGAATCCTTTGATAAGTGACTACCAGCCAATGCTTTGCTGGTATAGTAGCCAGGGATTTTGCTCTCTGCATTAACACATAAGCTTTTGTCTTCGAGTCCAGCCTTTTCCTGAGCCATTAACATCCCTACAATATGGTCTTCAACTAACATTTTGGAAAGACTAGATGTGGAGTGAAGAGTGGAGTCTTGACTTGTGTAACAAGGGGGACTTAATCCAAAAGAAAGAGATTCCTGAGACTGTGGCATGGTAACGTTACTTATTGTTCTCTGAGGCTGCATACATTCTTCCAGAAGGGTCTTAAGCTGCTCTTCAGAGAGGCTCATTTGTTCTTCAGTCTGAAAAAAAAAAAAAGGCAAGAATTTCTTCTGTCAAAATATAATTAATGAAAAGCAGTGCCATAAAACAGCTTGAGAGATACACTGACAGAATCCTTAAACAAATATCAATGTCTTTCAATTCAAGCTGAATTTAAATATACATTTCCATAATCACAAAATTTATGCAGCATCCTCACTAGGTTCTAGATAGATTCTGTGATGAAAGTTAGGAAACAAGCCTGATGTCCACAAGGCACTGAGAGGCCTTCGATTTTTGCATAGTCTTCCATGAGATCTGACTGGTTTTTAATTACCAGAGCATGCACTTTTTCATATTTCTTGGTTTGCTGTGAATACCTACAGACATGCACACATACACACTCTTTAAGATTTTAGCTACTGAAAGCAAAATAGCACGTTCCAAAAGGACTGCTGGGGCAATGCAGCTGGGGCTAGAAATGGTTTTGGACAGCACCAGCCCACAAAGACTGTCACATGCTGACTGAAACATTCCCAGCCTCTCACAGTAGAAATGCCACATAGTCTCTCTCTCAACCATGTGACACCAAACACATCACTTACCTACCATGGCAAGCATGACCCATGGCAAGTGACAGAAGAAAGCTCTGTCTTCTGTAGGACAGTTTCAGTGCTTCCTTCAAGCCGTCACTGCTCGCATAGCTTGCAGATGTATCTTTTCAGTTAATTTCTATTCAGAGACTGGCACACTCCCATCATTTTTATCACACAGGACATTTCTTAAAATTTGATATTAAAGATAATGACTGATATTGGTTGATTATGGTGAAGAATAGCAAAGGATATTTTGCTTAAAGAGGTTAGCAATAGGGAGTTACTTCCAGCTTTTACAATCCCCTTTTACAATTTTCCCTGACAATTTAAAGATTACAATGATAAGGACAAGACTGTTTTTAGATATGTGTAATACATTTGCCCATGAAATAGGAGCTATAGAAGATATCATAATATATATCTTAAATGTGGGAAATGCTATGCAACACTTAATAGAGAAAAATGCAATCAAAATCTCAGCTTTACACAACCTCCAAGACACAAAGGATCAGCTGACACATTAATGAACCCTTAGGCTACAGTGATTTATGTAAAACAAAAATTTTATTCATTGTGTAATGACTTCTACAGAGAATTTACTTTACATTGTGCTAGAGGATGGAGCTACTGTCATTTCAGAGAGATCAATATCAGATGCTTATCTGATATTTTTTTCCCTGAAGGTCTCTGATCCAACTACAGGAGTCATATTATCCTGTTTGATGCATATGACATGACTTGACTACAGCCAAGGTACCACAGGGTGTATGGATTATGCCTGAAAACTGATTACTCATGTTCATCAGTGGGGACAGTTTTCAGTCAGGAAGGAAAGAAGATTTCTTTGAAAAATTTGTGGCTATTAAAATTACAAAATGACACTAAAAAGTGAACAAGAATGACATTTTAAGTTACCTTTAATCACCACTCTGTACTTAAATATTCAAACATTAATAATAGCTAATAATAATTGCTACAGACCAAATCCTGTACACTTCAGGTACTAACTAATGTGCATAAGCTCAGCTCTATAGAGTTATTTAACCCAACAGTCTTTTCCTGCAGATATCAATTTCCATTCCAAAGATACTCCAAGTTTCTTTCTTGCACATAAAACTCCAACTGCATTAAAGAAATCAAGATGTTAAGGGCTTTTAAACACACAAAAAAAAAAGGGAGAAAGAAAAAGAGCACTGACAGACTATTATTATGGGTAGAGATCTTTATTTAGATGAACACATCACCAGGTAATTATATTGAGATTCAAGTAATCTTGGTATCAATCTATGTGTTTTTGATAATATTAACTGAAATCAAACCACAAGCTTAAGTGTTTACATAGAAAACATGCAAAGTATTACAACATCTTCAAACTTTATTTAGTCTTGTAAATTTTAATCCTATCATAGAAAGTACTCACTGATAAAAAAAAAAAAAAACTCAGGGAAAAAAATTAGTAGCAAAACACTATGATGAATCAAAAATGAAACATGAAATCTTTGAAATTTTCACTTTTAATCTAAACTACTAGCTCATGCTGAAGTCCTTCAATTTCCTGAAAAAGTATTTCAATTTGCAGGATAACATTTGTTTCCAAGCAGTGAGTATCAGAATAGACTCACTGGAAGAAACAAGAGCATCCACACAGCAAGAGGATAACATAAGAGACCACTACTGGAAGTACAGCTGCATCAAGAGTATATCCACAGAGCAGATTATACTGTGTAAATATAACTATTTGTAACATAGAAATTCTCACATCTGGAAACCCACATGGATTCCCACATGGTTTTGAGTGTGTGGTTCTATACTAACATATTTCAAAGCTCTTGGCCAAGATCATTTGGAGCTAGTATTATGTTAATGACAGGGTAATTCACTCACTGCAGAAAGGAATTATGTATATGAAGCAAATGAATGATCAGTACAAAATTAACATTGTGAGGAAGATCATCTTGTCCTGCCTTTCTTTGGTCCTTTTACTTCCCCTACCACCACCCATTTATCTGCAGTCCATTTTCCCTCATCCAAATTTTTTTCTTCTTTTTTTTATCTTTCAGGAAAATCACATGGCTTGTATTCATAGATTATTACCAGAGGGGTAAGATTTAGAGCCTAAGGCATATGGGAAGGGAAATGAATATAATAACAATGGAGTAAAAAAGTTTGGGAACTTGTTTTTCTCCAGAGTGGCAGGCCTGCAGCCAAAGCAGACAGTGTAAAACATTTCTTTGTTCCTTCTTATTTCATTCTCTCTCTTTCTCTTTTTCTTCTCAAAATCCAATCCCTTTGGTTTTTTGTAAGACATGCATATAAAGATAAGGAAAGCATTTAATAAACCTCACCAAAAATTACATTTTAAAATACTAAAGGCGCACTGTTATTTTCTTTTGCCAAACTCAAGAGAGGACTATAGGCTTAAGGAAAAATACACAGCAGAGAAGATAAACAGCCACCAGTCATCCACTCAGTAGTCAGGAATTTACATTGAAATGAAAGCAGAAAGGCTGCTGTTAAAATCAGGAAACAGTTTAGGGAAACACCGTTGGGAAAGACATCTCACAGCAAAAAAAAAGCTGTGCATTTGAAACCAAATAAGCATTTGAACTCATGGAACTGCATAATACAACAACTGTATTAAGAGTCTGCAGAGTATATATTTGCACACATCAGAAGCAATCCAGTCACAACCAACTGTAACAGTTCAGAGCCACGACCTGGGGTCAGAAACACAGTCTCAGGGAGACACTTGATTCTAAATCTCCCTAAGCTTTCATTGCCCTCATTGTAAATAATTTACAACTCCTATACAGAATAAATACTTCAAGACTTTTTGTTTTTTTTAAATACAAGGACATAAAATGAGTATCATTCAAAATGCAGAAACAGCCCACTAGACAAGGGAAAATGAGGTATCAGGTCTGGTTTCCATTAAAAACTAGAAAACCTTTTAATTGTTCTGGCTAATTTTTAATAGGACACTGAGTCCTATTCATTTCCTAGGCTTTTTTACCGTTAATGATCCAAAAAACTAATTCCTAGCCAGGAGTTTAGGAGCCTGCTAATGACCTTTACTGTTTATGTGTGGTTAGCTTTTCACACACTTGTGGCCCTCCTCTGACTGAAGATTTCTTGTTCCTTGCTAAATTCCTCCGTGACAGGAGTCTATAGAGAAAACCTTACTGCATGTGGTAGGAATGCAAACCTGTAGTTCGCTGAGGACAGCCCTGCTGTGACTACAAGTTTTCAAGTTCAAATCTTTAGGCTTTCTTTCTACATCTGTACAGTAACAAAAACAGACTAACACTGAAAGCCTATATCAGATTTTACCATGGGGAGAAAGCTAACATGTCAGGATTATTTCTAATGATAGTAAATAATCAAAAAATTACACACAGTAAATTAGTAAGCATTACAATGTCAGGATATGTAAGGACTCATGTAGCTGGCACATCTATAAACATGGAAATTTTGTTCCTTAGTCTGAAAGTGCTGCACTCAATAGTTCACATGATAGTATATTTGTTTGAAATAATTGACTTTGATGCTTAATTTGCTGACATTTTTACTAGTGTGTGAGACTGCAACAGTCAATTCTGAGGTAACTGCTTTCTTCCAGATAAAACGACTCAATTTTAAGAGAATACTGATCTATTGAGACAAAGTTCAGATTTTTGGCAGATCAGCCCAGGGAAGTTTTGTAAGTTTTAGTTATTCAATAACTTATTGACAGTTTCTCATACAGCTCTATTCTGTTTTGAAAAGGCAATCCTTGCCTTCTATCTCCACACAACTCAATGTGGACTATCAGCTCCAACGTCTCACTTTCTGCATCGCACCCAAGCATCATGTACTTGTCTACGAACAGTACTGCTCAGTGCAACTGTGAAATATTATTAATATGCTGCATACAAACCACACACATCACATCATTGTGGAAGACCTTCTTATAATTTCCAGACATGTTGAAAGCACAACAAAAGTCAGTTTGGTGCCCATAACCTGTAAACTGATTTAAATTAATGTAATATGTCCATTGTAGATTAACCCCAGCAGGCATCTAAGCACCACCCAGATATTTGCTTACTTCCCAGTGGGGAAGGGTAAGAGGACAGGAAGAGCAAAAAGAAAAGGAAGAGCAAAAGCAATAAAACTTGTGGATCGAGATAAAAATTGTTTAATAAGCAAATAGAGAGAAAAATAACAAAACAAGCAATGCAAAGGCAATCACTCAGCATCTCCCATGGGTAGACAAACACCCAGCCAGTTCTGAGCAAAAAATTGTTAACTTTGTAGAACCCTCTCTTTTCCCTTTTTATTACTGCGCATAAGATTATATATGCATTGGCATGAAATGTCTTTTTGGTTAGTTTGGGTCATCTGTCTTGATGCCAGCCTGCTGCACATCCCCATACTCACTGGGAGGGCAGACTGAGAGCCACAGA